GGAATACATGTGTCAATACAATTTAGAACATTACGGGTGCCATCAAACCAGCAATCTTAGTCGACACTGTGTTTTCAGCTTAAATAATGACAGCTACTGTACATATTCAATGCCTTGTTCGTAATTAACATAAAATTTAATTTTGTTTGCTTGTAAAATAGCATTTTTACTACACTATATGATCTCATTTTTTTCTTTTTGTTAAACAATAGTACGCCTTAACCACGCGATCAAACAGTAAAGAAAAATTCATCCTTCTTTATTGATTGGTTTACTTTCTGCATCATACTTTCGTATCATTTCTATGATATTGTAAACCGTGCTGTAGTTCGCTTCACTTATTTTGCAGAGAAACATCCTTATTTTCGCTTTCAACTCTTCTACCACGTAAACGTTCTCCACCTCAATCTCACTTCTATAGAGGAAGTAGAAATATGCTATTTCCTTGTCCGAGATCGAAGCAAATGGTCTTACGAACATCAAATCATCCTTGTATACTGCTAGTCCACCTTTCTCTACAAGCGAATGTGTATTGGCATACAATATATCGTACAGAATATCACATGCTATATCATCCATGCTCTTCTCCTCAAGCACCACTTTTTCATCAGCTGACATACTTATGTTATGGCAGCACTCCAAGTATTCCTGGTACGTTTTTATATCATGATTGAAATGCTCCAACTTGCCATACCCTACCAAGCTACCATTACGGCTGTACACGCGAATGCTCTTGAGCGCATACGGATATAACGCTTTGGTTAGCGCGTAAACAAGGACACTGCTCTTCATCGTTCCAGTATGGATTATTAATGCAGGCTTGTTCAGAACGCAGCGATAATTCTGTTTAAGCTTTCTGAGAAAGGTAGTAGTAAAGCAAGTATTGCAGTACGCGTTATCTTTCACTTTTATATTCGGTTTGCTTTTGCACGAAATACATCTATATGCCCTGTTGAGGAACATGTGAATATTCTAGGGATGAAAATTCAGCATTAAGAAGCTTGATTTGAAATAAATAGATTCGGATTTGAGCGTAAAATGTCAAACAGAAGTGCCAAGAATATAAATAGGTGTATAAACCATTGATTTTAGAGAAATACATAGTATTTCAAGTTGTAATATTGTTTCATAGAATATACCAATATATGACACGATATTATTCTAACAAGTAATCGTCATAAATACTATTCGATACTATTATATATTGTTATTGGATACTGGTTGCACTATTTCTGCTAAAAACGGAACAAATTCTGGTTGCTTGATAAACATTTTTCTCACTTTAATATATCATATTCTACTTTTCTTAGATCCTTTGGTAAAGATGGAAAAATTGGTTTCGCTCTGTAATCACGTCCTTCAAACATCGTTTGTAAAGAACGGCTGAGTGCGTTTTAGAAATGACAGTATATAAAATATTTTACAACTCTTGTTTTCTGCAAAAAGACGAAAAAAATTTACTCTGTTCCTGAACCGGTCAACCAGCTTTCGAGCCGTCATCCTATTTATACTGGTAAGCGATGATAGTTATCGTTACCCACAATTTGTCATCAAATAAGAAAAGAGCAAAAGAGGTAAATCTTTGATAAAACTATTTATATTACTAGCAAAAAATATAACAGACGAAATTATTGTTAACAAATGTATAATCTCATCGTCGTCATTCTAGGCATACGATAGTGATAATAAAACCACCCGTTATGGTGGTAAATGTATTATCGTCATATGACATGCACTTATAACTTATTTAATAACAAACTTTTCACGATGTTGTTTGTTTTTTGGTCTGTGTACCTGGCACTCTTCTAAAACATTTGTTGGAAAACGGTAGAGAATTGCAGTGATCACAGTAGTGGAAATGACACAACGCTTTTAACAGACAAAGATCAACAGTTACGCCATTTTCTATCCTTTTATAGAGATAATCAAAATTTGTGATTATTGAGCGTATTTTTTTTAGAGACTCGAGAAGATGGGCCTGAAATCGCTTGAGTTTTTCGGTATCGGAGTATGTCACGCTAATATATTCCTTAAAAGTCATTTTATCTTTCATATGACTCTTCATCGCCTTCAAGTTTATCGTGTTGTCAATCTTTTCTTTGTTTATACCTGACATTTTCACAATGCCTACTAAATACGGCAAAAAACCAAGAAAATATTCAAACGCTAAGAAATATTCGTCTAAATCGATGCAAGAGGCCTGAAACTTATCAAAATGAAATGAAAAGAGATTCTTTGATGTACAAACACTTTTAGGCATGGCATTAAAACCTCTTCTGATTCGTTTCATAGCAGGAATTGAGCTAGTAACAAGTTCTACTTGCTGATGTATTACCTGGACTTTTTCGGCTACATCATTTAATATTTGATCCACATGTTTTTCGGTGATTGCTCCAATGCCGACTAAAATACATAAAATATACATGGTTAGCGATTGTGAAGACTATTTATATTCTATGGCGATAAAAGTGCTTATCACCATGTTTGATATATTGATATGGCCTTGGTTCATACTATGCAACTAATTTATTGATGCTCTTTTGTGCAAAAATGTATGCTGACAGGCCTAACAACCGATAAACTTGAGTAGCCGAAGTTACAAGGGACACACAGGGACATATTGCAAAATTAGTGGATTTAAATCAAGATTTTATACAGTGTTATAAATGAAAACATCCTTTATCGTATTACATGTCATATCTGCACTGCATACAAAGCTTGACTTTAAGTGTTAATTATACCTATTTCCTAGTTTATCTTGGAAAAATTTGATCAAAAACCATTAACTCACACATTTGGCCGAGTTGTTCATTAAATGACTGATCGTATCACAAACCTTTCAAAAGTGACATCATGATAAGAAAAGGAAGGAATACGTGGATTGGTATGGATAACATATGCTGTTGTAAGATCTAAAATACGTATTCTGGTGATGAACTACACATAACTTCTTATGTATGAACACGTTCTATAACATGTATATCCTATTACCATTAACACATATCTCTCATAATGTCATTCCGAAGGTGATGAAGCACTTAGCACTATTCCAACCAGCTTTTATTATATACAAGCCTTTGAACTTAGTCTAATGACATGATCATTCACTGTTACAGAATACTGAGATGTGTTAGTTGACAGGTTGTTGTCAATTTGAGCTTTTATGGGAGTTACTATCTTATGGCTCGTATTGCGAGTAAATGTTGCCTTCACAGAAATGTTTGACTGTTGATTTCTATCGCAATTCATAATTTAAGAAGAAATAGCGCCAAAACTATTTCATATTTAGCCAGTATCTAGCTTTGCATCCTTGTTCTGTGACCGTGGTTTCATAACAGAATAAATTTATCGAAGGAGATTAATAAACTAACATGTCAGAAATAGCTGGTGAATAAGAAAAGAACGTGTAAAAGAGACTTTGAAACATCAATTAAAATGATTAAACACTAGATAGTAAAATTAAAAATATGTTGTGGTATAACTACCTCTAACGATTGTTAACATTTCATGTTGTAACTAAATAAACCGTCTACCACATGTTATTCACGGCTTTCTCCTTTAATTATAGCCCGATGCACGTTTAAACACAATTTCAAATTCTTTCACACATTTTTAATTGCATACGATGTGAATCTGTGGCGTGTATTCTATGCTCTTATCAACACTTGGGTAAATTTACCAAATTGTAGCCAACCATGAAGATTCTTATGACGGATTTGATGATTTCAAAGCGTAAAAAAACTGTAAAAGTACGATGCAGTACTAAAAGGAACATTAGCATGTTCTATATGCGATGAACGTAATCAAAATATAATGAAAATTAAAACAAAATAACGAATGTATATTCATTGTTCAAGCTAGTTATAATCGTTGTTCATAACAGATGAGTACACCTACTACGGCAATGAACTTCACTCTCGATGTTGCATACGGTTTAACCCAACCACAATTAACATAGATGATATCCTACAGTCTAAACTAAGACACTCATAAAACACCAAAAGGATCATTTCATCAGCTTTATTATACCCATCCACATATCTTTCTGGTTTGTTTCTTCAGCCATTTCCTCTCCTCTTTGGTCATAAAGGGTGACAAAACCTTCCTCACCCTATCGTTATAGCTATTTAAATAGCGGATATCACTCTTCAATAGCATTTTTTTAACGATTAAATCCCTCTGTAAGGGAACGTAAGTCAAATCGACAACATTCAAATATTCTTGGCCTACCGCCATGACTACATCTTCAATTCGCACACCAAACTCATTCTCAAGATATACTCCCGGTTCAACACTGAACATTTGATGTGGAACTACGGATCCAAACGGCAAAGACTCGTGCACAAGTGATGAGTGACCGACACCGTGCGACGTGCCATGCCTGTAATCACATTTGATATTCCATAAAGGTAATCTTGCAATGCCGCATGCCATGTAAAGGAACCTATTTTGTGGTGCAATCAACGTTTTGCTCATTATCTGTCCCTTTAGAACACGTGTGAAATATTCTCGGAACTTGGACGTGCTCTTACCAAGAAATAGTGTTCGTGTGATATCCGTGGTACCAAACAGGAACTGCGAACCGGTGTCCATCAACACCACATTATTATTTTCAATTTCTACACCACTCCCCTTGTAATGTATGATTGCAGCATTAGAACCCGACCCTACAATCGACTCAAAACTTTCCGAAACAAAGCAACCATTCGCCAGATACCTATTTACAACAGCATCCTCCATATTTGCGGTGCTGTCACTCGTAACTTTCCTCATAAAACTCATACTCAGTTCTTTCTTTAACTCAAGCAATTTCTCTCCAATTTGTTTTTCAGTAACCTTCTCTTTCTGGAACGTATGTCTGATCCACACGAAAAGCCGCGTTAACGCAATACTATCCATAATATTGGCTTGAACTACGCCAATTATTTCGTTTGTATTTTTTACACTTTTCAGCTTTTGTACAAAATCACTTGTCACTGCTTTGCTGCCCAATTTGAGACAAATGCCCGAGTTTACGTGCGATGATACGTATGCCCTGCTATATTCTACAAGCTTGATGTCCCCTGTGTTATTACAGAAGGTGTCCAAGAAATCGTCAAACTCATCATAGCCTCGTATGCAAATGTTACGCTTTATGTTTTTGCTGTTAGTGAACAGCACTGCATCTTTCTTATCCACAAACATGTAGGAGAAAAATAAAAGATTGTACGGAATATCAGTGCCACGCAAATTGAGTAAATAAGCAATTTCATCCATTGATGACATAATCATGCATTCCTTGTCGTCAAGCGAGTTTCTCAGTAAGGTAAGCTTTTCATCGGTAGAAATGCCTACTATGTTGCTATCAAGGATGTCGTCAATGATTTGTTGCTCGGTTTTAGACTCATCGGATGGCTTTTTTGAGATATCATCGATATTTTCAGGTAAATGCCACTTTTTTAGTATTTCTTCCGAAGGATTGCTGGATGTATCATCGTTTTTACTGGTGACTCGTTTACATTGATCAGTATTTTTTTGCTTTGCTCTCCTGTTTACTCTGCAGCTTTTCTTCAGTATATCTTCTATCGAATCACTTTTTTCCTTCTGCTTCAGAACGTCAAGCACAAGTTTTCTGGTGTATTTCTCTCCAAATATCCATATGCAGTCTCTCATTTTTATCTTTTCAAGATCTATCGTGTCGTTGAATGCTCTTTCACCATATTTACAAAAACGATCATTCTTGACATGTAATATCTCATGGTTCACCAACGCGTCTTTGATCGTCTCGTATGTTTCTGTATCTATCCTGTTCAGGTCCACTCCTATGTTTCCAACAATATTGTTCTTTATATACTCTAGGTAGCTTGGATCAACATCAATTTTTTGGAGAGTGAACTCTTTGTTCAGCTCTTTTTCAGCCTGTATGAAATAACGGCCATCCGTATACAAGAAATTCTGGTCGCCGGTAATGAGAAGTGTGGCTGTAGAACCTGTAAAGTTTGTGAGCGGTGTGATAATGTTGTCGGCTTTGTGAATGTACTCGTTCATATGATTATCAGTGAGCAAAACGATCATACAAGATATGTTGCACGTATCCAGGATCTCTTTGAAGGACATGAAGGGGTCCAACCGTGTTCATTTAATAAAACAATTTGCAAACAGTTCTATCATAAAATGTACCTATAGAATAATTCGTTGAGTACAGGATGGAAAAGCGAGAATGTTTGATTAAAAATTTAGTGAAACGTGTGAGAACGAACAATATAGAGAAACAGAATGATTTATATATGCAGAAAACATATTTGAGGTGATTTGTAGTAGCCGTGCAAATATTTAAACAAATTATTTGGACATTTCACTAAAAACTTTGCCCATTATTCCTAAAAAGTCAGGATAAGTTAAAAAATTTTACGCAGTATGAAAGCTAATCTGATTAATGATCAGTGCCGATATTTATCGTGAAAACATGACATCTTCAACTTTGATGATTAAAAGCATTTCTTATAATCGTGCCGCAATGGGTTGATAATTATTAATTTCACACTCTTTTTTTATCGGTTACTTCCTCAGTTTTATGGTCTTTTATGTTTACATGATCATCATGGTTCATATAACACTTTTTAGTACGTCAAAAAAGGGCATCTTACCAGCATTTTAAACTTTCTAATTGATCCGTGTCTTTAAACATAAAAATTGAACTATACACGATGTAAAATATGCCTATCTAAGCTATGTTTCTGCATAATAAGTGTACGCTTGCCCGAATTGCTAGCTAACAATGATAAAAAAATAGGCTAACACTTGGTTATACAGCGAAAATACAGTACTGGTGTTATGCTGTGTATAATGGATAGCATTGCGGTTATGATACATACATGGATCTAGGATACGGTTATTTTATCATCTTACAGATAATTGTTTTGCAACATTCTATGGTTTGATGGCTCTACACCACAAATTCGGACACCCTCTATGAACGACAAAATAAACAGAATCAGGGACAAACTGAAGCCCAACCCCAATCTACTATCGTTTATTGCACCAAAAAGGACGTTGGAACCATTGCTATCTCCTCCTCTACATTTAAAGAAGCAAGCCGAATAGCTCTATTTCTCTGACCAAAAAAAGAGCATCAATCTGTACATAAAATCGATATTTGCATACATTAAATCGTTCGAATTCAAGGAATGCACGCTTGACACGTATATTTCCCTTCATGAATATGTGAAGGAAATAGTGAAGCGAAGTATGGGCAGGTACAAGGATATTCTAAAAATCATAGAATGCAGCGTGGCATATTGCGTGATGGTGAAAAGGGCAAAAAACTGTGTGGACGAGGGGATTGTGTGTGAAAATTTGGATATAGACCTTATTAAACTTGACAACATGGTTGAGAACCGCGTTACATTGGTTAAACTGGAATGTTTAACAGAGTATATATTCAGCAATTATGAATTTGAGTGATGAACATGCAGCTCTAAAGTTAAGAATAGACGTAAATGCAAGATTTATGGAAATATGATGGTATTGTGCTTGTTATACAACGTGTTTGCGTGAGGACCGGTGGTTCTATGAGTAACATGTGAACAAAAAATTAAAAGTACGTTACGAAGGATTTTAATTGTTTGATGTATTACTGGCCAAACTATGGCAGATATAGCCGCATTTCTGATTCAAAATATGATTTATAGAATATCCTCTGAAACAGTATTTTGCTTCTTCCGTCGTATGAACAAACAAATAATTCGTTAAATAATAGAAGTAACATGGCATTGTATCTGGTATTTTTTTAAACCAGCAAAAGTGATTGCTTAACAGTCTCCTGTGAAAACAAGGCATAGCAGGACATATGTTATCTGTTCTGCACTTGTTGATTTAGTTAAGAGGAGTTTTAATCAATGACGCTTTTTCAATTTTCTTGATGATTTTTTGTGACCATTTTTCTTGGATTTAGTATGAGATTTGAAATTAACTTTTGCACTGAACAAAGCTTTTTGATGTGAGACCTTATCTTTGTTACGTATGCTGTCTTCCACAACATTACCCTCATCCGTCCGCTCATCATTCATTGCAAGCATATCCCTCACACCGAACAAGATGCGTTTAAACATTGAACTTTGGTTGTTAAACAATTTCCATCCCTCTTTAGCCGTAGTCAAACTTAGATCTGTTTGCGGAATAAGTTTTTCTTCATTTAATGGTGCATTTGCGACCTGATTGCCTTCCGCTTGTAACATTTCTTCGTTTGATTTCTCATTTCTTGAGTTCAAACTCGCAAAATGCTCGTCTTCCGAAATAACTTCGCATTCATGTCTAAGAATCTCATCGTTCAACTCTTCTAAATCCTTGTTATCCATCGCATCCATTTGTTTCATATGTTCATCGACACATTCCATAATAGCACTCATTGATTCATAAAAATGTTCTGAATTGTCGCCCACTTCTGCAGATTCGGTTATTGCTTCAACATGCCTTACCAGATCCAATAAAGAGCTCGTCAACTTATCGTTTTTGTTCGGCACGTACTTTTTATGTTTGCTCACAATTTTAGTTTTATCGGCCAGATCAGAACCTACATCGGTATACTGTGGCTTGTTCATGTCTTTCCTGTTATCTTCCAACTTATGAGATGAATCTATACTTTCGTCGATGGACTGTGTGTCACTATCAGATGGTTCGCTTGGTGATGACAATTCTGGCATTTTCCCGCTATCATCGCATTCAACGGTTTTCGAATCAGTCAAATTCGCATCGCTTAGTTCCAATCCAGCCATTTCATCTGCTCCATAATCGTGGTATCTTTTGTAATCTGTATCGTCATATTCTTTATCTATTACTTCTCTTTGCTCCTTATTCTTTAGAGAAAAACCTATATTATCGTTTTGTCTTGATGACGTAATGTGCTTAAACCCATAAAAAAACAGTGTTGCTGCTACAGCATATCCCAACAGCACGTAAAACATAAGTACGCAGATGAGTTCACAATAAATACTTTTCTTCATAAGCTGGTTATGGTAATTTTACGCTATTCAAATAATTGATATCAATGAAGTAAAAGCATTATATTATGTTTGAAGAAGCAGAATCACTATCTAACCTATTTTAACACCGTAAAGCAATGTTTCGTTGACAAGCTTGTACAACTGAGCAAAACGTAAAAAACCATTGATTAACTGGCATGAGAGTAGGTTTATTTACGAACCAGAAAGTTCGACATATCACCAGAGCGGAGTGCTAATCTGAATGTATTTATCTGGCTGAGCGTGTGAATCACGATTATAAATTATTGCAGTAATATGTTTATGATGAATTTGTGTTAAGTACTGCCATTTTTATGTTAACATGGTTGCAATTCACGAATTATGACTCCTATGCAGAGTTGTTTTACGCTATATAAACTCATAAATCATGTAAATGCCTTTAAAACTAAGTAAACTACGAATAAGGAATTGCCTCATAGTTTTATTGTTTATGATAATACACCATGTTGGATACCATGCCAAGAACAGCTATCAAGTTAATAAAAGGATGATTTACGGAAATTCTCGATCATTGTTAGGCTTTATATTGCTAGATAGATACCATTCAATCCAATCTTTCTTTGAGGTCTACAATCCCAATAATATCACCTTCTGTGCCTGCAATAGATATCCGAGACAAAACTGGAATGAAGTAGTTAACCAAGTTTATGAGATAGAATATGAGAGCGTTACAAGGGAAGCAAGACTGGCCAAAAAGAGTTTTATAGAAGGTAACAAGTGGAATAGTTATTAATCTGTTTGCGATATTATGCCGCAAGGCATTGATGAATGCCTAGGCCAAGTTAGTATTTACTTACATACATCAAGACCACCCGCTTGAAATTTGTTCACATATAACGATTTATACGACTGTGATTTCAGAAAGTAAAAAATTGTCAAAAAATACCTAATATAAAGAAAAATTTAAAACTCAACAGAGAAACGGCGAAGACCTTTTTCGACAAAAAAGATATGTGTTGTATGTGTAAATGATAGACTGTACAGTGTGCAGAAGAATATGGTGTGAAATAAAGAGTGTAGCACAATTTACTCAAATTATAGAACTTCTTTGGTTGATTACGGATAATAATGGCTAAACCAAAATTAAATGATAAGAAATTTCTATGCTTTGCCTTTTATAAGTGATATGAAATATAACGCAGCTTGTCCAGGCATATCTAGAGATAAAGAGCTGTTTTTACTTAGAGAAAATCTCGTTGTTTATGTGAATAAAAACACAGCTATTTAATATTGCATTAGATCGTGCAGTCATTTTCAAATGATATGCTAGAAATTTCTCTACAAATTTGTACTCGAATCCAGCCATAAAGAAGCAAAAAGGGGATCACTGCTTGGATGCCATGCTAAAAGGGTATAATTGCGGTGCATGTACAAGAACGGAATATTAACACTAATAATTTTAAACCAGTAAAATATGGATAAAAAGTCGAGTTTGATACATTAAGTGTATATTGATTATTAATATGTGGTGTTTGTATTATTAGAATTATATTCCACTCGCCTTTGAAGCAAAAAATTTATTGAAATATGACTTTCATCCGTATATGCATATTTTTATAAATAACGTTAATAGCACCAGCAAGTTTATCTCCCGGTATAAAAATATTAACCGCAGTATATTTTACCTAATCAAGGTTTTATACCAATAAAAGTTCAAAGCGCGAGAAACCTCTTTTCAATATTTACTCACCAAAACATTCAAAATGAAATCGGCAAGTGAGCTTCTTCATATCCTTAGGTGTCATGGTGATTCTGTATTGCGAGATAGTGGTCGATGTTGTCCAATAATTCATTTCTCATCCATTGTTACTGCAATATTTCACACCATGAAATCTAATAGTTCCGCTTAATCTCCTCATCGTGTCTATCCGTATGAGCCGGTATCGGAGATAAATTAAGTCAAATTCTGAATTTTTAATGAAAATAAAAAATGAAAGGGTAGTTAAATGAAAGAGAATGACGAAGACTCTCAGAAGAGAAAAAGTGGGTGGATAAGAAAGGATTTACAGGATTATGACAAAGATGCGAGGACAAACGGACAAAAAATTAGTTTAGAAGGCGACAAGAGTGCAATTGAAGATCTCAATCAAAGTATGAATTATAAACCGGTTGAAAAGATGGTGCATGGCCGTGAGAATGGTAAATTTGGTAAAAAAAGCGGTTCTCACGCAACCGTGAGCGATGAAGAGCTTGTAAACTTTGGTGAGCTTTCGCCCGATAAGATGTTAAACGCTTTGAACACACTTACCGTGTTATTATCAAAGGCAAATGTGCACCAAGTGTACGCATTTCTCCTAAACTTGCAAGAACACACTTTAACAATTCCATCTACTCATCACGAGTCGATAACATCCTCGCTTTCAATCCTATCAGCAAATGTAAAGCAGTTATTGCCTATGGAAATAGAACATTATGATTTGAAGCTGATCAACGTAATCGATGACACTAGCGAGCGTAAAGTGCCGTTCAACATGTATTTAACGAATTATCTGACGTCTCTGTTCATAAAGCTGACCATCAAAGAGATTGAAAACGCAGTGAACAACTACTTCTATCCGGAGCGGAGAAGAATCGACTGCGGCATTGAAGATATACTTGGAAATGGATATGGTGCGTTGTTAGTTGAGGAAAACGGTGATACTAAAGCGAACGGTGTGCATGATGTAGGTAAAGGAAGTGCGAGCGATGAACACGAAAACTCGGATAGAGCTAGTGTGAAAGGAAATGGAGATGGATGTGTTAAAAGGGAGAATCGCTATGAAAACTTGGAACACGATAAAAAGACTGCTGGCAAACCGGTAAAGAGACCGTTAAAAGGCGAAAAGACAAGCAGAACACAGGTAACAGGTACTGAAAGGGAAGCAAACACGGATAATATGAGTGTGAAGAGAATCAAACGAAATGAACATCACGCTGCAACCGAAGATGGTTCCGAGCAGAATAAGGAAAAGCAAATGGTAAAAGATGTATTATTAAGCAATAAAACGCTCTTTTGCATACTAAAGGATGAGGACTACAACATCAATCTTTTTCTTTCCCTTTTGAAGTATGAGGAGAAATTGCAAAGCTTTCTTCTTTTCCTCTACATAAATCACGAAAGCACGTATGAGACGTTTCTAAGAAACGCACTCTCTAGTTGCACGGCGGAGCAGCAGCCAAAAATTTTACAAAATTTTGTGGAGGTGCGAATAGAAGAGCTCAAATTCTTCGACAAGGAAAATTTAAAGCAAATGGTAAAGAAGAGAATGCACAGAGAATCGCTAAGAGTAAAGCTGAAAGAAATTGAAAAGAGCGAGCTGCTTGACATCATTAAAGAAGACTTTAAATTCTTTAAAAACAATTTAGACTACTACGACCTCAGCTTCAAGGAACTGCTAGCACTTGCTGAAGAGGAAGACGAGGTGATCGAATATCTGTTCGATAATCTGGCAGTTTATGGAAGTAATTGGATGGGGTCAGTTGTAAAGGTGCTCTCTGGAAAGAACGAGAATTTTATTTTTGATTTTTTTGAGCAGCGCGTGCGACCGCTAGCAGACCAAACCAAGACACACAGTGAGGAAGAGGTACATTCTCTGATATACGACGCGATTGTTGTGTACCTTAAGTACAATAAGCCCAGTAAACTGCTTCTGCAGCTTTTTCGCTCAAATTACCTGCTTGACAACAAAAAATATTTTTTCAATGTGATCACTATTTTAGAGAAGGAAACGATAAAAAATCGGCTGATGGACTATCTGGATGAAGAGACCTTGCCTTTTTTTACGCGTGTGATGACTGCCAATGAGATTCTCCATGAGTTGTGCGTTTTCAACTGTGACAGATATGATAGGGAGAAAAACACTAAAAGCGATATCAGCTCACGAACCAGATTAGAGGGTATATTCAAACTGATAGTGCCCAAATTTACAGAAGATACAATTATTCAGACGCTTGCCTCGTCTGACAACACACCAAACTTCTTTCTAGCACTTAAATATTCACTCATCACGTACGCCACGCTGAAGCCGTTCACACTTACCGTGTTGCAGAGACACTCCCTTCGAACGAACGAATACATCGATGTGCTTGAGATGATGGGAATGGATGCGATTGACGTGTTGGTATGCAAGGATAAAAACTTTATCTCGTATGTGTTGCGAAGGAGCAAAAAGATCAAAGAAGTCTGCGTACAAAGCGAGGGCCGGAATTTGAGAGGAATGGACAAAGTACTGGAAGCGTATTCCAGTCAGATGCAGTGAGAGAGGAAAGCACGTATGAAAAGAAAATAAGTGTCTCTGAACAGTCTATACCAGTTATTCTACCCTTGTTACCAATAAATCAGTGATAGCCCGGTTGAGTAAGTAACCTTTCAGATCGAGCAATACGTGAAAAGAGAAGGTTCTTACCCAACATGTTAACAAACATAACCAGCGTAAATAAATGTGCTTTTAATGACGTAATCGCTTGTTATCGTCGTACAATAAGGTCGATTCTATTATTTAGCCGTATATCAGTAAAAATGTGGTTTATTTATTAACTTTTTATAATTGAGGACAAATTTACGTTTTTGCAGGTGTTACCGTATGAGAACACGAATAAACGTATCTGTCAAACCAAAATTAGTTTATTTCTTCATTTTTTACGATGAAATGATGTGTTACGAATATTTAGTTAACTAAACATTGACAAACAAAATTCGTTGTTATACCCTATCGATTGCGCTACCGGGTGATTTTTATCCATCAATTCTTGCTTTGCGATTAGTTAAAAATCAGCACTTCTACTCCGTTCTTCAACAGCACAAATACCGTGTTACCAACACATACAAAATCTATAACATTAACTAAGTTAAGATTCTCAACAAAACTTCTCTTAAAATAGTTCATTCTGAGCCTGCTGTTTCTGCACTCAAGAACAAAATCGTCATTTACCAACTTAGAGGCAGGCACATTGCTTGGTCGAATAGTAACGGTCTCTTTGGCATCGCCATCGGTCGTATCGTGTTTATTTTTCTTTCCACTCTTACCTCCCGTACCATCGCGTTGCTCCAGTCGTTGCTCACAACCACTTTCCTCATTATAATACGTTTTGACCACACCGTACCTATCCCATACTTTTACGCACTCGTCTACGTGTACATCCACAATATCGCCAATTTTCATCCAGAGTATGATCTTTTCCAGTTCACGATTGCACGCTTTCACATTTCTGGACACCAGGGTCAACATCACGTTGAACAACAGACACAGGACTTGGCGACTAACACAATGAACCAGGTAATTCATGACATGATTTTCGATTCTCTTTATTTTGGTGAGCATTATCTCACTTTTACCGTTCTTGGCATTCTTGATTCGGTACCGATAGATCAAGATTGTGTCTGACTGCTGGAGAAGAACATAATTTTGTATGGCGTACAAATTGTCGGCAACTAGGTTGATATGGAATGATAGGATGCTTTCGCCCTTGATGTCCACCTGGAATGGTGTGAATAAAAGTTTGGGAGTGTCTGGCTTTGCCTTATGGAAAAGCGGGTGCTTTGTGATCATAAGAATGAGGAGCCGCGAGTTTTTCAAGATTATTACGAAACAACGCGTAAGAGAACCGATCATGAAGAAATAGCACAAAACGAGATGTTAAATGAATCATTTGAAAGGCGTACCATTCAGACAATAACAATACGGAACAGGCGTAATTCTAATGGAAATGGCATTAAAACGCCCATTAAGCAATTTAATCTCGTACAATTGGTAGGTTGGTCGACAGAAACGAACAGATCTAATCTCGGCAAAGTCGGATACCACAGTGAACGCCAACAGCAGAAAATAAAGCTGTGCCTCAACAATGAGTGCAGTGCCATTCTGCACCGTAAAGCACGCCAGACCATCTCCAAACCAAAACCAGTACAGTGACACGATAAACAGCAAAGCAAACTACCGCCAATCAATAATTTAATTAATCACTATTGTCATCAAAAACTATCTTCTTATTCTCATTCTCCTTGAACCTCTTACTTCCCCTGTCCTTAGAATTCCTTCTATCGTTTTTATTGAATCCTCCCCGGTCGTTAAATCGTCTCTCTCTATTATTGCCTCTGCCGAACCCTTTGTCGCCATCTCTTCTATCCCTGTTAAAACCGCCATTTCCACGATCTTTCCTGTCCTTCGGTTCATTGATGAACAATTTTCTCTCTTCCATATTAAACTTACCGTTCAACACCTTCTTCATGTCCTGCTCATTTCCAAATTCAACAAAACAAAATCCTCTGTTGCGCTCCTCATCCTCATCGGCCGGTAACCGAACATTTTTCACGTTGTACTTCGAAAAAACATCTTTTATGTCCTCAACGGTGGCTGTGTAGGGCAGGTTCTTCACGAACAGAGTAAAGTTTCCGGTCTTCTTCGGTGTATCAATCACTATGGTGCAATCAAGCAGAGTCTTTCCGTTGTAGGACAAAGCTTTCTTCGCCGATTGTGCATTGCTGAACTCTACGTAGCAGAAACCCTTGTTCTCAGATGTATCGCGATCCTTCGGCATGCGCACGTTCACTACCTTTCCAATTTTACCGAACTCCTCCTCAACCATTAGCTCAGTAACACTTCTGTCAAATCCCTTGACAAACACCGTGGCATCATCCGCCTGAGACTTATCCGATTGCTTACTCGCACGCGGTTCCTCCGCATCGCCAGATTTAACGTTGCTCGCCTCATCAGACTCACTTTCCTTATGTTCTGTATCTTTTCCCTCATCAGAAGAGGTTGCACAGCTCAACTCCTCCTTATCCTCCAGACCCGCACTCCTAACCGGCTTTGCTTTTTGTTGCTTGTCCTCCTCCGTACTTGCATCACCAGTCTCTTCTCCAGAACTCACATCCTCGGAGTTATCGTCCCTTTCTTCGCTAGCACTCATCTCCTTAACGTTGTTGCTCTCCTCAGTGCTGCTTGCCTCAGTACTGGCATTGCTCTCTGTGGCAGAGTGCTCACTTTCCGAAATGCTACTTTCGTTTTTGTTCTGCTGTTTCTTTGTCTGCTTCTTTGCCATTGGGGTTCAAATTTTTTTTTATTTTTTATAGAGATTGACAAAATCGGCATATTCCAACGCACAACGTGCCAAACATCCAATGGTGTTTTGATGTACATTTATCGATAAGTACAGCAGCAATTCGACTGTTTGCCGGTAATTGTTGTGTTTTTAGACAATATCCTTCTGGCAAGCTATAAGCTGTTAAAACGGGCACTGCACTATCGCTTTGACAGTTCTTACGGTTTTATTCTATCAAAATGAACCAAACCGGGTTCAAAATTGAGAAATAAATTATTTTCGCTACATATCGGAAACAGAAGGACAAAATGTTATGAGTGCAGAAACGAAATTGTTCAAGCATGATCGTATACGATGGTAGTGCACGCACATAGGAGTTTCTATCAGAAATACTTGTGATAAATCTCCTATTAGGTGATTATGTCCGGCCGTTCCTTCGTTCATATGATGGTGCACGGATCACAAAAGCACTTGCCGAAACAGATCTGTGCTTTTACATGGATGAGTTACACAGCACTTTAATAACGGAATGAAAACGAATATCTGTTGTATATGGACAGCACAGCAATATTAAGAGATAAATAGCAGAAAAATAAATAAACGTAGGTGAGAACGAAATATATTTTTACATCTTAGCTCTTCTGATGCATCCAAAATATCACCTATGAGCACGAATTGATTGGATACGATATTTGTGATCGATAGCCTTTACAGAACGTGTACTAGCCCGCAACAAGATCGGATGTGTCTGGACAAAAACTTAACGCATACGTTCCTTAACAAAGAATTGCTATTGCTAACAGTTCTATTCACATGTTCCTTTTTCGTCTAAAAATTTACTCAGCATCATAACCAACTCATCTGCCTTCTCGCACCAATACTAAAAGATGCATGCACTTGCACAGTTATAAAATTTTTTGAATCTCACTTTTCTACAGAGAACCAATCATAAAACAATATGATATGATGTACGAATGCCATAATATGCTATTAATAACAAATTAGTTGTTGGTTGTGTTAAGTATGACGTATTTGACACCGTCTTGCACACCTACTCTGCTTAACATGCTCATTTAGGATTAAATCCAGCAGCAGCTTTTTGCGATCGGACCAGGCGTACTTTTTACACTTTTCTTGAGATTGTAGAGCAGGCCGCTGTGCTCAGAAAAAGCACCAATATCAACATTTACTGTCAAGCTCTGCTCAAAACTTGCTTTTGACGGATTAAAAGATTAGCAGCTCTTTTTCACATCGCTGTCTAATGCTTGATACAGTGAACTGGTGCGGTATTGTGTAACCGCTTCAACACCATAAAACACAGAAAGAGCACATACTTTTTACTGGCTTTTCCTCAACTAAACTCACAAACTATTATTTGAACAGCACCCACGTAAACAAACGAAGAACACGAGTGTGTGTTACTAATCGTGATTGCCATGTGTTGTGACCCTAGTCCACTCCTGTGCAAGGCATTCGTTGATAAAATGTATTTTTGAACTGTAGAAATGGAGCAGAATGTCTGTTTATTTAATTAGCGGTCTAAGAT